TCATCCATCCCCGTAGCCCATCACTACCGCCCCTACCGCTTTTTATGACTGTCGTATAGCCGCAATTCACCGGCTGCCATGGCCCTAGAGAGTCGGTTGTGTTTGTATTGTTTATTTCTTGTTTAGAGAAACTTGTTGTAATTCCCCTTATCATTCAACAATAATAATTATGTTTCCATTGCGATCTGAGCTGACTCTAGTATCATATAAGAAGTTTAGCCTCTAATGTTGACCTCCATAATTCAAACTTTTTTCTGAACTCTTGCTATATTCTTATTTACAAGAAGGATACCATCTACGAAAAGCATACACCAAGGTATATTCTCCTGTAAATGTCCAGTACAAACATCCATAACTAAAACAGAAAGATATGGGCTTAAAGTCGATCCCTGATATAATCCAATTGAAATGGGAAAATACTTGATCAGTCATCATTCTATTCGAACACAACAATTCTGGTATACATATACCTGATGTAATCCAACTGAGATTTTAAATATATGATTATGCTAAAAAAATTGTGCCCAAATAATTTTAGATTATTGAAAGGTTTTTTTTTTTGTATTTTAGATAATTAATGCAAAAAGTGCATTATTGTGGGAAAAAATCCAAATAATTTAGAAAAAAAAATTAAAAAAATTGGAGAATGCTCACGCACATTTAAAATTGTGTTTATGTTTGTCATGCATGAATGCCATCTTGAAAATATTAAACTTGATTTTTTTTATCAACTTATTCCTTAAAAATTAAAAATTCAGGCTTAATAAGATATTTTTGAGCCAAGGGATGCGTTTGAAAATTTTTTAAAATCATTTGATACATTGAATAAGTAATCATATAATAATATAATTTTTAAAATTAGAAAATAGAAAATTATTTGCGTGGAATTATTTTTACTGAATTACACATTGTCTAATATATCTTTGGTAAATAAGTTATTTTATTTGGTATTATGGTTAGTTCACAGCAAAAATCAGAAGAAAATAAGCCAGAAGTCTTTAATTTTTGTTCGCAATTGGATTGGACCATAGTCTAACATTGTCATAGTTGTTGAGCCTATTAAGATAGATTGAATGGTTACTATTTCATCTTCTTGACTTGATTCCCTTGAAGCAAACCTGATCTGACGTCACCCCGCTTCAATTTCTCGCTCCTCAAACTTTTTTAAGCAAATTTGTTCATCGAAATCCTAGGGTAGACCTAGTGCTACACAAAAATTGTTTGGCTTGGTCAGCCATGACTTGGGCTTACCCACGAACCCTAGCACCTATGTCTATGTTAGGGTTTGAGGCCATCACCTTGGTGAGCAATAAAGCTAGAGGAATTCAATTCACTCATCTTCAGTGTGGTGAGAAGTACTAATATTTCTCCAGAATCTTCGTCTTTGGTGATAAAGACATGAGTTTGATTAGTCCATTAATGATGGCTATGATCTCCCGAGCTAGCTAGAAGGGATTTGTAAGTGCTAGGGAGGCTTTGAGAAGCTAAAGAAGATCTGGAGTGAAGAGCCTTGTAATGGGAGCAGCTCTCTTGCAAAATAGCTCTTCATCTAACTTCAACCATGGTATTTATGCTTAATCTTTTTTCTGCTTTTGCCATTTGGCCTGATCAAAGAAGATCAGTGGCTAGGGAGATGCTACAGATGGCAAGTGGAACATTACTTGAAGCTTGTTGGTGGGGAAATTTCATTAGCCATTGGTTCTTGTTTTTATTCTGATTAGCCATGATTTTCACCCAAGCTAAACTCGTGTTTAATGACTTTAGCTAGGGTTGAGCTATTGAAGTGGTGACATTGGTGTGTCAGGCAATTAATAGAATTACTACCCTCATTTAATTTCACCTTTTAAAGATTTTAAATTCATTTAGTTCTGAGTAGGTCTAAATGGGCATTTAACCTAATTGACCTCTTTCATGAGGTTATATGAGTTATCCCAATCAGGGTTAGCTTTCTTACATTCCAAATCGTCATGTATGAATTTGTTCTACCAAGAGACATTCCAACATGAGCTCGGGGCCCATTTAGGTTTATGGTATTTTAAATGAACCAATTTTGACCTTTCATAATTATGAGGTTAACCATGTTCAAGCCAAGGGTCAATTGAGCTCAACTCATCTATTATGGTTAATAAAATAATTTTCTTGAGTTGGTTGAGCTCGTTCTGGCTAGAGTGCTCAAATTGATCAAATTAACTTTAAGGATCAAAATAAGGTCAAGAAGGTTATGTGAACCAATTGGTTTATACAAGAGCCAATTAAGGTCAAGTACTTATTATTGACATTCTGGAATCTTTCTAAAATAGTCAGTACCATTAATTTGAGTAATTTGATTGAAATTGACTATATGGGTTCTGTGTAAGCAAGGGGATCAATTTATTAATTTGGTCAAGGGATCCAATTTGGAGTTTACGAAAAATTAATTTGCCTTTATTGGATTATCAATAACCCAATCAAATCCTTACAAGAAATTGGTTGGGAGCTATTTTTCAATTCTAGGGTATAAACTACCATTGACCTAAAAAGATCTTTTTGGGTCGGGCTAAAGTAGACAGGGTTTTACCCTATTTTAAAAGTCATTTGTGGTTAAGTTGTTATTATTTGATGAGAATTATTGTGGAGAGGGATTGACCAGATAATATGGTCATCTGGTTGGACTTCACCAGATGCTAATAGGAATCCTAAGGCAAGTTAGTTTGATATTACTTGACCACCGGTCAAATTAGGCAAAAATTTTCTGTGCAGACTCCTGAAGTAGCTCTACGTGCGGCGCAGGGTATTCCTGAGTTATTTCTGAGTTATTTTCAATAATCCCGAAATAACCCAGAAATAACCCAAAAATAAAGCCCGCGGGTTATTTCTGGGTTATTTCGGGATTATTGAAAATAACCCAGAAATAACCTGAAAATAACTCATGAATAACCTGTCCCGCACGTAGAGGTACTTCAGGTGTCCGGACAAAAAATGCGCGCCAAATTATGACCCACAAACAATACATATACAAACAATATATAGGAATTTTCATACTCATTTACATTACAACGGCTATTAACTGAACAAATCGGTATATTGGATAATTTTTATTACAAAAAATGTATCTGTTGTGATCAACTGAGGCTAATTATAGTCAAATTTGTAAACATGATTTCCTTGACCTAGTCTTGGATTTTCGTTATCATTTGGCCTCCAAACCACTTGGAATTTTACCAGATCACATTTGAAGACATTTTGCCGACATTTTAAAGTGTTTTCATGCCCTCAATTATTTACTTTAAGTTAAAGCCATTTTGCTGACATTCTGCAGTATTTTCATGCCTCAATTTTTTACCATAAGAACCCTTTGTTCCTTTACCCTAAGAACCCTTTGACATTCTCAAGTATTTTAATGCCCTTACTTTAGAATGTCGGCAAAATGTCTTCAATGTGATCCAGTAAAATTCCAAGTGGTTTGGAGGCCAAATGATAACGAAAATCCAAGACTAGGTCAAGGAAATCATGTTTACAAATTTGACTATAATTAGCCTCAGTTGATCACAACAGATACATTTTTTGTAATAAAAATTATCCAATATACCGATTTGTTCAGTTAATAGCCGTTGTAATGTAAATGAGTATGAAAATTCCTATATATTGTTTGTGGGTCCTAATTTGACCGGTAGTCAAGTAATATCAAACTAACTTGCCTTAGGATTCCTATTAGCATCTGGTGAAGTCCAACCATATGACCATATTATCTGGCCAAGCCCTCTCCAGGCATCCCTCTCTTCCTCAATTAGGGTTTGTTAATCAGTTTTGTGGTGAGTTTTGTTCGAGACAGCCGCCGACATCCCTCTTTTCTTCACTTAGGGCTTGTTACTCAGTTTTGGTGTGTTTTGGTGGGGACGGCCGCCGGCGTCCCTTTTTTCCCAACAAGGGCTGTATCTGAGGGTTTGGGTGGTGCTCTGGCTATATCTCACTTCCCAGGTGGTGCTTATCTTCCCTTTCCCCTTCTGTATCTTCCTCACATCACTTCCGGCCGTCTTCCATGCTGCAGCTGCCTCTGAACAGACATCTGCTGCTGTTTTCCTGCGGTTTTCCCATCCCAACCACTGCCACCCGCGTTTTGGCTTGTTGCCGCCATCTCGGAGAGCAAGGAGTTTGTCTCTTCCTGTTCCAGCATCCCCAGCCATCACTACCACTTGCTATTGCCGTTATCCTGCTGTCCCCGGCCATTCCTACCATCTGTCAACCCTCAGCCGCCCCAAAACCCTCTACCTTGCTTCTGCCTCCCCCAAACGGCAAGGTGCTGATGCTTGTCTTGCTGTTCTTTTACTGTTCCTTCTCTTTTCTGCTTGCTGCCGCCTAGGACAACAAGCCAACATTGTTGTGTTGTTGTTTCTCTACAATCTAGCCCCTCCTTTACCTTGCCACTACCTTTTCAAACTCCTAAAGGCCACCGCCGTCAACCTGAAATCCACCCTTGTGGGCGCCCTGTGCATGTTTGTTGTCGTTTTATGTTTTAAGTGTGATTGGGTTGTCATCACATACTTGCTTTCAGTAATAACATTTGTTTTCCTATTGATTATTTGGGTTAACTTTGGTATCACTAGATCTATTGTTGTACATTCCATGAATTAAGTTTTAGATCTACGCAACAATGCTTTTAGACTCTAAAGTTGACATTCATAATTCAAGTTTTTCTCAAATATTTCTCTAATCTTATCTACAATAAGGATATCATCAACGAGAAGCATACACCAAGAATTGCATAAGAAATAGGTTTATTTATTATTTTCTTATTTCAAAAAGATTTTGTTGGTATTATTAGGTTGGGTGGAGGGTTTATGATTCAGCCTTTTTCTGCTTTAGAAAGAATTGAGAAGGAGCATATTAAATGATATTGTCTTTCTTCAAAAAATAAACTCAAGATGAATGATGGTTTTACCTAGCTTTTCTTTGAAATGTTGATTCTTCGTCTATTTGTGTATAAATATTCAGTCATTTTGGTTTTATGTATTTTCTTGTAGGGCATATTGACCATTCGGCAAGAGTGATGCGAGTCATCACATGGAATAGATCATTTAAAGGCATGCCTTATGCAAATGATGGGAGAGATGACTTTGATAATGAGGAGTGGGAAACTCATGCCACTGTATTGGATAAGATGCTAGCATGGGAAAAGAAACTCTATGATGAAGTCAAGGTAATTTGCTTCTGCTAATGTTATTTACATAAGAGGGCTGTTATGGAACCATGATAGGTGGCATTCAGTCTGAACTGAAGATTGGTTTCAAGTCCTGAAATCGCTTCTTTACTTTGTACATCAACCCTCTTTAGAACATTCATTGACAAGAGCTTTATGCTTTGGATGTCTTTTTAGTATTAGTTATATGGAATTTGATGCCCAAAGGAGTTTTTGTTATTCTAATGAAAAATTGAATTGCCTATTTTATAGTCCATTTCAACTTCAATAGTTTTGGATCGACATATTATTGAACCTTTTTTACTTATAGGGCTATAAGCAAATAGGCGCAATCAATGTATTGGTGAGCTTTTAAATTTTATTCATATTTATTCAATTATGTTATAATTGAAAATAAATGAGTCTTATATGAATGAGCATCTATCAATTCATTGAGTGCACTTGTTTGCTAGCGACCAAAGATACACGCATTTGCAACACCGTCACCATTTTTCCTCTCCTCAAGTAGAAGTAATGCTACCGGATGACCCATTTTTTACTTGCAACATTATTAATCACCAATAAGTTGGGAAATTTCAAAAGATCTGAGAAGGGTATATTTATTACTAATCATTTAATTTAATTAGTTTTATTTAAATTAATGAAATTGTGAAGCCTTTTTAAATGGGAAATTTAAATTTTTTTGGTCAGGATATCTGTAGAAATTTTGGTTATTAGCCTCTAATCTTATGCTGCATTAGCAGCCTTGTTGCTTGTGTTAGATGTAAGTTAATGACCAAAATTAAGGAACTTTATGTGAATTTTGTTATTTTAGACCTCGTAGGCGAGGAAAACTAAGAAGTCGTCTGAGTGGAGGAAGAGTATTTTGGTCCCTATTTTTAAGAATAAAGGGGAAGAGTGCGCAAATTATAGAGGAATTAAGTTGATGTGTCATACTTTAAAATTATGGGAGAGGTTAATTGAGCATAGGTTAAGACGTATTACAAAGATTTCTCATAATCAATTTGGATTTATGCTGGGCAGGCCTACCATGAAAGCTATACATTTTTTGAGAGGTTTGATGGAGAAGTTTAATAAGGAGGATCTACATGTATTGATTTAGAAAAAACTTTCAATAAGGTTCCAGGAGATATCCTTTGGAGAGTTCTTGAGAAGAAAGGTGTTGATATAACTTATCTTCAAGTTATTAATGATATGTATGCTAGATCAGTTACTTGTGTTCGAATAGGAGGGGATTGACCAAATATTTTCCTATTTCTGTTGGATTACACAAGGATTGGCTTTAAGCCCATATCTTTTATCCTTAGTTATGGATGGTTTTACTGGACATTTACAGGAGAATGTGCCTTGATGTATGTTTTTTGTCGATGACATCCTTCTCGTGGATAAGACGAGAGAGAAAGCTCAAGAAACTTGAATTATGGAGGTCTACATTGGAGTGTAAAGGACTTCGTTTGAGTAGAACTAAAACTGAATATATGGAATGTAATTTTAGTTGTAGTTGCCCTAGTGACAGAAATGTAACTATTCGTGATCAAATTTTTAAAAGTTGTGAACGCTTTAGATATCTCAGGTTTATTATTCAAAGTGATGGTGATATAGATGGGGATGTTATTAGTAGAATTCTAGTTGGTTGAAGAGGAGAAATGCTTCGGGCCCACTGTGTGATAGAAAAGTATCGTTTAGACTGAAAGAAAAATTTTGTAAGATAGTGGTGAGACCTGCAATGCTCTATGGCGCTGAATATTAGCCTTTAAAAGAGAAGCATAAAACTAAGTTAAGTGTTGCCAAGATGAGAATGATTAGGTGGATGAGTATTAGGTGGATGAGTGGCTTTACCTGGCTTTACACTTAGAGACAATATGCGAAATGAATATATCCATGATAGGGTTGGTGTAGCTCCAGCGATGTACAAAATTAAAGAGTGTCATCTTAGATGGTTTGGTCACATTAAACGTCGACGATTTGATGATCTGATTAGGAGAGTAGATGTTTTAGATTCAACTTATGTTAAGAAAGACAGAGGTGGACCTTGGAAGACTTGGGCATGTTGTATAAAAAAGATCTTAATTTATTATAATTAAATGAAAATATGACAATAAATAGCTCACAGTTGAGAAAAAGGATTCATGTAGCCGATCCCACTTAGTGGGATAAAGGTTTTGTTGATGTTATTGTTGTTGTTTATTTGAAGGGCATTTGAGATTGTTAGTTTAGGTTTTTTAGGATATAATTCATGTCGACTCTTGTCCTTATAATGAGGAGGATCGGATTAGGTGACTTGAATTGGCAATTACTTATCTTTATGATTGGAACATCTATTATTAAATTTACTAGAATCGTCAACTCTGGTTCATGTGGGAGAAGAATCTGTTTGGTGGGACTCACAACTCTATCCTATAAACATGACAGCTCGATTGAGAGCTTACATAATTATCTTGAGTTTGATTTCATCATAGAAATTTTATAATTTTAGAATCGGTGTAGACTTTTTGAGAAGAGATTTTGTACTTATAGGAGTGATTTTAGTGAAAATACTTTATTTTAACCCGCGCAGCATTCTTTTACCGCTCAATTTAAAATACTTAGATTATTTCGGTGGAGCACATGTGGGATTTAAATTTCATGTATTTGAGTTATTTTAGCTGGAGGATTTGGTTTCTTAAAACAATTTATGTGATTGAAAGTATGGATCAAATCAAAGATTGTTATAAATGACATTTGTAAAACTTGAGGATTTATTATAAAAAAATATATAGATTTAAAAATGGATATAATTTTTGGTATTATGATTAACTGTTTGATTGGAGAAGTGTCAACAATATCATGATAATATCTTTCAAGTCTTATGTCAATTTCATACAACTAGAATTATACTAAATGTGTTATATTATCCAATTATCGTCAGGCATTAAAAATCATTAATAGCCAAATTAAGCTCAGTGAAAGTAAGAATCTTAATCTGAATATGTGATAAACTAGGAATGCTAAATTATTGAATGATTAGATAGAAAGGATGGCATAATAACATTATTGAGTACCATGATGAACTTCTAAGGTGCTTCAGTGAATCAACAACAAAGAGTAGGTAATCTCCAAAGCAAAATAATAAACCTGAAAGAAAGAAACTGAGCTGGTCTCCCTCCTTCAGCTTGTCTTCTAAAGAAGGGGAGTATGATTAGCAGATCAGTGATTCAATGATAAGGCTTGTGGAGGATAAGCCGAGCATGAGAATTACTAGAGGATTACAATTTTATCAAGAAGAATTCCAATAGGGCTGATAGGATGTTGAGAGAATTCTATCAAAATTGAGAAAAGTTGTTGAGCCAAGTGGACAGAAGCTCTCGGTAATATTCTAGCTGAGATCTGGGTAGCTTTGTTATGCTACAAATGGAATATTCATGTGTTGTGTGTGCTCTCTGAAAGTTGAGTTTGTCTGTAGTTATTTTCTATTCTACTAGTGTATGGTTATTTACTATGCATCTCCCACACGCAACTGGTTTTATTTATTTGTCATTGCAAAAGGCTGTTTTTTTTTTTAATTATTTTTCCAAACTTAATGATGTTTAAAATTTGTTAAAACCAGGCAGGAGAGCTCATGAAAATTGAGTACCAGAGGAAGGTTTCTTTGTTGAATAAGCAAAAGAAGCGTGGTGTCAATCCTGAAACAATTGAGAAGACCAAGGCAGCTGTCAGCCATTTGCACACCAGATACATCGTCGACATGCAGTCAATGGATTCCACGGTTTCAGAAATTCAACATTTACGTGACAACCAGCTTTACCCAAGACTAGTTGACCTTGTTGATGGGTAAATTTTACTACAAATGTCTTCTATTGAAAGTATTCATGTTTTTTGTCCATATGTTCTTACATACAACTGATCATGTTTGCATAATTTTCTGCACAGAATGGGAAAAATGTGGGAGGCCATGTTCTTCCATCATGATAGCCAGCTTAAAGTTGTCATCGACCTCAGAGTTCTCGATATCTCAAACGCACCCATGGAGACCAGCGAGCATCATTACGGACGTACCCTGCAGCTATACGACGTTGCCAAGGAGTGGCATTCCCAGTTTCAGAAGCTGGTGAGCCACCAGAAAGAGTACATCCAGGCCCTCAATAGCTGGCTGAAGTTGAATCTCATACCAATAGAAAGCAGCCTTAAGGAGAAAGTCTCATCCCCACCAAGGATCCATCATCCCCCAATCCAGACCCTTCTTTATGCATGGAATGACCTCCTAGAAAAACTCCCAGATGATCTAGCCAAGAGCGCCATTTTAAGCTTTTCCGCTGTCATAAACACCGTTATAGTTCTGCAACAGGAGGAACTTAAATTGAAAGAGAAATGTGAGGAAACACGGAGAGAGTACACGAGAAAGCTTCGAGCTTTCGAAGATTGGCACCACAAGTATAGTCAGAGAAGAGCAGCAGCTCCAACTGAGGGGGAGACGGATAACATGGAGATGGCGAATATGAAGGACCCTGTGACGGAGAGGAAGTTTTTGGTGGATTCGTTGAAAACCAAGTTGGAAGATGATGTTCAGGCACATCAGAAGGCATGCAAACAAGTTAGAGAGAAAACTCTTGGAAGCTTGAAGACTCATTTGCCTGAGCTTTTTAGGTCCATGTCTGATTTCTCCTTGAGCTCATCTGAAATGTACAAGAAATTGAAAGCAATTTCGCAGGTGCAGAATCTGGAGAGTGCACGCTAGCTAGCTTAATGGGGGATGTGTGCCTCTTGTATTTAGTTGTGAAATCTTTTATATTGTTAAGTTATATTACTCTTTTTGTTGTTCGATATAGATAGTACGTAGAACAAGAATTTATTTATCCTTGCTTTGTTGTATCCTATTTGTATGTGTAAAATGTCGCTGTTTCTGGCTTTATTATTATTATTATTTGCTTTGGGTTCTGCATAATTGGATGGCTGCTTAAATTCGGGTGGAAATGCTTTTTTTATGAACTTTTAATTGGGTTATTTGTATACATGTTTTCTGATGTCAGTTGAACAAGGTTTAAGTTAGGTCTGAGTTGATTAGACCTAAGGATTAGGTTAGGTTCAATTTGGTTTGGGCCTAGGGTTAGCGTTAGGTCTAGGATAAGTTAGACCTAATGTTTTAGGTTAGGTACAGTTTGGGTTGAACCTAGTGTTAGGTTATGATGTTTGGGTCAAATGTGGGTTAGACACAAAGAGGGTTGGTTGATATTTGGGTCTAATGAGGGTTAGACCCAAGGGGGTTAGGGTTTAGGTCTAATATGGGTTAGACCTGAAAGGGTTGTGTTATGTCTATGTTTGTTTAGAGCTGGTGTTTAGGGTTAGATCTAATGTTGACTAGACCTAAAATTTGGATTGGGTCTAATGTTGATTAGACCTAAAGGGTTGGGTTAGATCTAGTTTAGGATATACCTAGGAGATGAGTCAGGTCTAAGATGAACTAGACCTAAGAGTTGGTTTAGATCTAATTTGGATTAGACCTAGAAGATGGGTTAGGTTTAGTTCTAGGATGAGTTATACCTTAGGTTTATGTTAGGTCCAAGGTTTGACATAGGGTTAGTGCTAGGTTTAAAGATAAGTTAGACCTAAAGTTTTAGATTATGTCCAATTTAGGTTGGACCTAAGGTTAGGGTTAGCTCTAGGATGAGTTAGACCTAAAGTATTAAGTTAGGTCCAATATGTGCTCGACCTATGGTTAGGGTTCGGCCTAAGATGAGTTAGACCTAAAGTTTCATATTAGGTTCAATTTGAATTAGACCTAAGGTTTAGGTTTGAACAAAGTTTTACAAATACATTTGATAGATCTTTTGGTCTTCTTCAATTTTCAAAAACTATAAAACAAGTTGAAGTTGTAATACTCAAATTATTTGCCAAGGTAAAAGCTAAAAAGAATTCTAAAAAAATAATTAAATGTTAATGCAGCCTTGAACTAATAAATTGTAGCTTTTCTCAATTCCAACTCCACTTACCAAAGCATGTAGTGATGGAGGGGAATTTAAATTTCTAATATGATTTTGAAAATATAAAGTGTATTAAAACAATTAATTAAATATATAAATTAAAAGGAGGAGAAGGTAGGACTAAAGCTAGGTTTTGTTACTTAAGAAAAATATATATATATATATTTTTTTTGTTATTTTATTGTAGCTCTCCAGCAGTCGTTTCCGAATTGAATTAGTAATCATTGATGCTTTATAAGAAAAAATATTATTTATGATATCAATTTGCTATAAAAATGAGTTATAAGTTGAGAAATGCAATAATATATATATAAAAGGAAATTGATATTTAGTAGAGGCTCAAATATCAATTTCCCATGCATAATCCGGGCTCATGATGAGAGTCTGCGCAATGTGCCTATATATATATATATATATAAGATCTGTAAATTACTTACAAAACGACAAAGTTTTGGTGTGAACATAATGGGCAAGCTTGCCTTATTGTTGATCGTCTATTATATATGATGTTTAATTTGTAATTATGAATTTAAAATTTGCTTAAGTTTTTAATTTGTAATTTATAAGTAAGACCCATGTGTAATCTACTTATTAAGAAGTTTTACATATCCTGGAATGCACATTTATGTCACACTAATCATGATTAAATAATTGTGTTTCATTTTAAGTTATAAAAATATAAATTTGAAGCATTAGAAGTATTTACATTTTTTTTTAAATTTATGTGGCATTTACGTAAATATAAATGTTAAGAATATAAAAATTACATCGTATTTATCTAAATCTTAATTATTTCATTTCTCAATCAGAGCTTCAACAACTCGTTCCAAAATGAAACCGTCCACATTATTCGGTTCCATAGTCTCAATTACAAGGGGTGGAGCAAGCAACAAAACATCAGACCATTAGAAATCCTGCCATAGTAGTCACAGCTTTTCCTCGCATCAGAACTCGATTTCTACCCTCATCCACTTGTAGATCAAGTATTCCACTCCTTGGAGAGGCCTGCCTCGAAAAGCAAATATCAAAGTTTTAATCTAGTTGTTGCCCCCAACTGCCTCGAAAAGCAAATATCAAAGTTTTAATCTAGCTGTTGCCCCCAAAACATGAAGTCAAAAAACCTTCTTTTTTTTTCATTTTTCCTTATTTTTTTAAGTGCGATGAACTCTGCAGTGGTAGAACATGCCCCTATATCTTAACGATTGACCAAAATAATTTTTGGGTCGGATTTGGGTTAAGAATCATAAAACTTTTAATTTTTGGGTCGACTTTGAGTTGACCCACCAACTCAAAATTGAACCGAATTCAAAGCGCTAACCCAAAATCGACTCGAATAGCTATTCCACCTTTGTTAAACAGGTTATCAGGATCAGTTGGTCAGGTTCAAGTTGAACTTACTAACCCGCTTAATATCCGGGGAAGGGTTTGGGTAAAACAATTTTGAGTCGGATCAATTTCGGGTTAGACTCGAACCAGACTCGGAAACCCAATTTAACATCCCTAGAAATAATACAACTTTAATTATCTTATATAATATAAGATACCCCCCACTCTCTATACATAAAAAATCTAGGGCAACTGAAATATATAATGAAATTTCTAAAACATTCTAAATGAGTACTTTTTGGGGGCTTGTCCATAATCTTACCCACAAAGGTTGACATATGACCAAATCAGCATAGAGCATTTTCTTCATAGGGCAAACACTTAAGGCTCCATTACTTAAAACACCCAAGGATTTAGAATGTTAAGGAAGACAAGATTTGAGAACTAGGTCTATTTCTAGGTAATTTGGAGTTGGATGGGATTGAACACAACGGATTCATAAAAGGCACTGAGGTGGATTGGAAGCCAATGATGACTAGGAAGTGTGCTTCAACCATTGGAGAGCTCATTGCACTTTAAAAAAAATTATCAAACCATATTTAACAAAAATGTGCATCATGAGTTCAGTTGCAATACCACTAATGAGAGTTCCCTTTCCTTCTTTTACCATAGAGGTGTATATTAGGATTAAGAGGAATTTCTTAAACAAAAAGAGTACCTGATAAGCGATAAGATTGAGCTTCCCCAATTTCCTACTCCAGTAGGGTGCTAATGCGCAGTGTGCACTCCCACAGACAGGATCCTTGCAAATAGATCATATTGGAACGCATTTAGCTTAAATAAATTGCTGCTAAGAATACATATCACAGAATCATGTCATGCAAAGAAATTATTTGAATGCATTCAGCCTATAATAATAGTTTTAAAATCCAGGGTGATTTTAGTTGACCGCATCTGAACATCAGAGAATAGGATAAAGCTAGTTATAAAAATGTGAACAAAATTTACATTTAAGAAAACATAGAATTGGGAAAGATGGGTTTATAAAAGATAAACTTAAATAGAAAGGTTATGTAAAACAGAGAGCTAGGTGAAATTCAAAGGGCAGACTGTAGATAAAATGCTAGAAGTTGTGGGAAAAAGTAGTTTTAACTGAATTGGCATAAAATAAACCTTAAAAAGATGCTGCGAGTGGAAACCAAGGATACTAATGATACAAATATCATTCATCCATAAAAAACTTTGCAAAGCCTTAGAAACTTCAATACCTCATTAATTTCCAACTTTGGACAGAAGAAGCGGGAAAAAAAATCAAATCCAGTACCAGGAGGAGCAGGAGCTGTCATAATGACCCCCCTTCCAGCACATCTCTTTAGCTCAACGAGATTTGGTTTAACATCAGCAAGTTCCTTCCCAGAAGTGAGTTCTACCTACATGAAAATGAAGTTTTTTATGATATTTCACAAAATTACAATGCAATTTAAGAAAGTTTTAGAAGCGTTGCTTCTTAATTTTTAGAATTAGGTCAACACAGCAAAAGCATTACTTATTGAAAAATAGGCACTTTATTATAGTCAAATGACTTGCCATCATTAGTTTATAAAGCCAAGTTCATATTGATGATCAATATATCTTTTGTTATCAGTATGTGAGGAAGTTTTTCAAAAAGTCACCAACATCATTAATTTTATTCAACTAAATGGGGTCATCATGATGATTTTTTCTTGTTAATTGTTGCATAGGATGCTAGACACAATTTACATAGACCTTTGTGCACTTCTATTCATGTAACTGTGTTTTTATTTTCATAAGTGCATTTTCTATCATTCATTGTGCATCTCAAAATTATCAAAAATCATACCCCTTATCTTTAATGAATGGTATTTCCATGTAAATTGTGTCTTTCTAGAATATTAATCATTCATGGATCCATTCCTTGGAAATTTTCCAGGAAACAAATATTGTTTTGACATTTTTTTTCCATACCCTACTCGACTATCAATGATTTTTATATTGCCCAGCAAGTCTTTTTAATATATTGCCCAACACTTGAATCTTGATAAAGCAAACATAATTGTAGAATTATAATACTTATTTAAAAGTATCTCAACATATTGTTTTGCTTAAATACGCCTAGGACGTTTGTCTATTATAATCATTCAATCTTAACTCAAGGAATTATAAAAATGGATGTATATGATAAATGATATCATTCTTCTATATAATAGATATAAGTTCATTAAACCTATCATACGTACATCACTTCATCGACTAGTAATATTGATGTTATAATATCTGTTATTGTTAGTTTACTAGGTATAACTCATAATATTGAAAGGATATTATAAGATATCCCCTTATTTGGGGATACTACTATTTAGTTATTTCATTATTCATCTTATATGCTTATTTAGTAACTCTCCAACAAGTCAATAAGACAAACATTTCTCCTCTCAACATGGTATAGAGCAAGAAAACCCAAGCCACCTCCCAATCCCATATAAACTCGCCCACACTAACACTTCTAAATCCCACATCATTGATTGTATTCCCTTGATCATGTTCTAATTATTAGCATCTTAATTCATGATGCCAACACGTTTTCTTTCTGCTCACGCATAACCCCATGTAAGTGCATTGCATGCCTCTTAAGTTACTTAACGCCCACATTTGCTCGATCAGCACATGCATTCAATACACATTGCTATGGTTGTTGCAAACACCCAATTTGTAGGCAACCTCAACTTGTTCGATATTTTTGTGAAATCTCTCTGAACTCGTCTACACCAATGTTGAATAATCATCTTCACCTGTTTATCACATTGCCTCGCACGTCAGCTTCATTCATTGTTTGATGCCCAACTAGCCTCCAACATTACTCTTAAACACTCTATCAATAACAATATGATGCTTTCTCTTTTACTTAGACTCTATCTTACATAGTATTATGGCTTCTCTTTCTCCTAGAAATGGTGTGAAGCCTTTCTCTATTATGGGGATCTATATCAAATTCCATGATACCAATATCAAGAACTTTCATTTTCTTATTACATCTCATAGCAAACAAATATCACATCAATACTTCTCCTCCAGCTAATGATAATATCAAGTTCTCCAAAGGGCAAGCATCTAATTATGTTCTTCTTGAATGAATATTAAATTTTTTGCCCCCATAGTAATGTTTCATCAGAATGCCAAGGTACTGTGAGATGTTTTCTATTTTTAAACTTTTAGGAAAGTAATAACTCAAGATTATGTACCTTATATTCAGACTTATTTTCTCCTTGCCAAAAGGATTTGTTCATTCAAGCATACCATATTAACATACAAGATAAGTGTAATGAGTTGCTTCACTACAAGCCTTTTACCATTGATCCTAATGTTTGATGGCAACATCACGATGAATTAATAGTTTTCAAATTTCTTGGCCTTTATTCATCCCTCTAACATGTGCAATCTCAACTAACCGGTGATTTTTTATTTCCCAATCTTGCAACAACTCTCTTCTATATTCTTCAAGTCATTGAATTATCGTCTCCTTCTCCTTCTCCATCATCTTCTAATAAGAATACCCTTAATATAGAGCATCTAGGAAGAAGTGAATGTGGAGGTCGAATAAATAATGTTCATGGGAAAATCTAACCAACCTCCATGCTCTCATTTTGGAACATCGCAATCATTACTTAAAACAATGTTGGGCTAAATTTAGTTATCCTTCTATTTCTCAATATGCATTTGGAGCATATCTTCCATTTGATGGTTCTCTCACTACTATTGCTCATTCTAATTTTATCATTATTTGATTAAAAAAACTTGACATTTGCTTCAAAAGTTATTTCCTCCTATAGATTTGCTACATCAATCATCCTTTAAAATAATGTTGGGCTAAATTTCGTTATCCTTCTATTGCTCAATATGCATTTGGAGCATCTCTTCCATTTGATGGTTCTCTCACTACTATTACTCATTTTAATTTTATCATTATTAGATTCAGCAAATTCAAACCTCTACATTTGCTTCAAAAGTTATTTCCTCTTATAGATTTACTAAACCTATCTCCTCATTTATGTTATGGAATGTTAAATTCAAGAGCTTTTCCCATAGACAAGAAAACACGAAATTTTTCCTTTGCGCAAGTTCCCCTTCCATGATTATGGTTAATGGATCACCCTTCCCCATCTCAATGCAATCGTCATAACTCCTCCAAAAATTTTATTCCTCTTTAATGTTTTATGATTTCCATAAATTAAATAAATTTGTTAAATATTTACTATCTTACTATATCTCTCCAATTATGTTTTAGGATCTTAGCTCACAAAAAATGATTGGTGTAAGCATTGAAAATGGTGGTGCCGACTAACTAATAATAGATGTTAATACCACAGTTCCACTCTTACCACCATTACTCCTTTTCATTGCAATTGACATTGTAATCATCTTCCTTTTAGTAGACTTTAGGATATTTTCCAAACGTATTTGAATGTTATCAAAATCAATTATATGTGTTTGGGTTGGGTAAACACTATAATGTGTCATTTACATTCTCGACCGCAAGTCATTATTCGTGTCCTTTTAAGTTAATTCACTTGAATATACGAGGTCCTAGTACAATTCTTCTAACTCATCTAGGCTAATGCTATTTGACACCTTTATTGATGATTTCACTAGCTATATGGATTTATTTGCTCAAATGTCAATCTATAATTAAAATTAAATTTCAATTTTTGATCTATTAAAAAATTATGTATCAATAAAGCATTCAAATCCATGTAATATCAATTTCAAATCTTCTATTCTGCTAATGAAATTATTCATCTATTTTTTTTTCTCTTGCACCTCTCATTAGAATTGTTGTTGTATGAAAAAAGAATTGCCACCTTCTTGATATCACTGGTATTTCATCTAAATATTTCTACTCAACTATGTTGGGTTTGGGGTAAAGCGCATCACCATTAAGTTGTCAATCAATTTCTTTATTCAAAACCACATTTCACTCATCTCCACTCTGTCCCAATAAAGATGGTATTTCCCTTGCACCATGAATCTTTAGTTGTACGTGTTCTATTCACGCTTTTCACTCACCACGTAAAATATCTAGTGTTATTCAGTATACCTTCCTTAACTACTCATACTAAAAAAGTTTTAAGTTTCATAATTCACTTATATGATGCGTGTACATTTTCGCAAATACCATTTTCATGATAAAACTGTTTCTTTTCTACCTTCAATTTTATGGCTATCTTGCACCATGTTCCTCTTCCACCAGCTCTCTTTTAACTTACTTTGGCAGGTACATCCTCATCATCCTTAACCTCCATCCAAAATAAAACTTCTTATCACATTATTAAATTCAACTAAATATCCACCGTTCGATAAGCCATCTAGCCTACATATTTTTATTTGCCTTCGAGAAACAAAATGCAACATAATGCTCAACATATTGAATTTTATATATATCAATTGATCAATTATCCACTTTGCTTTGTGCATTTCCTTGTCTATATCCTTTTTTGTATTTATTTTCATAGCATATAAAGAAGTGCTAGAACATCCTTCATAAGAATATGAAATCGATGTTGAAATATAAGATCATATCGCTATATTTGGAATCGGGTTCTCCCACCACTTGGGTGCATGTTGATGGATGTTTACAATTAAATTCAGCTTGAAGGATAGATTTATTGCTATAGATTTTGATTGGTAGCGAAGGAATTCACCCTGGTCCATGGTGTTGACCATTTTGATACAGGCTACCTAGTTTCATGCCTAAACATAGTATAAATCTAGTCATTTATATCCATCAATCAATGTTATACTATGCCTGAAAAAGATGAAAGTAATGACTTCCATTATGATGTCCAGTATGAAGCTATCTATATAAAGCAGCCTCTCATGGTATGCCACTTAGGAGAAGAACCATATATGCCTACTTAAAAAAAACTTATTTATAGACTTAAACAAAGTCCACCAATCTAGTTTGATAAACAGTGCATAGTTTAGTTAAGATTGATATTCCATGTAGCACTGCAGATCATTCCATATTCATCAATCATAATTAGGCATTTTCTATTATACTAGCAATTTAGATTGACATCTTTCAAAGTGACCATTACAATATTTTTTAGATAAAGAACTCTGTGCAAAAGTACTTTGTTAGCCAAGATGTAAAATGATTTTGGTACTTTTTAGGAAATAAATTTGCATATAATAAAAAGGGAATATTGTTTTTAGAAAGAGAATATTCTACTGACCATGAAGAAAAAGGATCTTACGTCATAAGTATGTTGATATTCCCATGGAGACTTTGACCATGTTGAATGATTATAAACCATTTGATGATCCAAATCAATATTAAAGATTAGTAGGTAAGTTGATTAATCAAAGGATCGTTCCGTATAATAAACAACGTGGATTAACACTCGTTTACAGGAGTTTAGTTTCCCTATTATTTCACCAATTAGTTTATATCATGATAGCCACGCCATCATCTACACTGCCAAATGCCAACAATCCTATGTTTCATAAACAAATTAAATGAATTAAAATAAATTGTGAAGTCATATGAGATGCTCTATTACAAGAAAACAACTCATGTCTGCAAGTCTAAACAAGCGAAAAGCATTTTTACAAAGGCTCAAAGGCACTTATTGTTTTCTTATTTATGTAACAAAATGGAGTTCGAAGTAAAATAAATATACTTTACCTTAAGCATATTTAGTAGTGTTGGTTTATTAGGTACAACCTTTACTATTAGGAGTTCATATTAGAAAGATACCCTCATATTTGGGTATATTATTTTCATTAATTTATTTCCTTATTACAAAATCTTGTCTGCATACTTAGGCCCGTCTACAAATCAGTAAGATAGATGAGTTCATTTCTCCTAAATAATTGTTTGATAATTATTAATGTTACCATTGCTAACATTATATATTATATTCACAATCCTCAACCTAATAATCCTAAAGCCCTTCAAATTCTAATATGTTTGACATTATTGCAACTTTTCATTTAATTCAACATATTTTTCATATACTAGAACTATGCATCTACAGAAAAAATAGGCACCACAATTTCTAACTTTTAAAATTCTTATAAGTATCTCCATAACTAAAATAAAAGATATAAACTTAATATTGACTCTAGATGTAAACCTGCCAAAAATAGCCTATTTAGTCGCTCTACAAGCACTTAAAATACTAATCAATCATTTATAATGCACCACTTTCATGGCTTCATCATGTAGTTCACATTTTTTATTAGTGCTCATCAAATTATTTCTAGTAATATTAGTGATAAATTTTCTCAAAACTATTAAAATTAAAAAATATATGAACATCTTCTGAACATCTTCTTTTTTTTTTTTGTTATCCATGTTTTTTTATCACTTGCCTTATGCCAAAATTTGTTTTTAGAGTAGATCTTCTTGGCATAATAGCAAATTAGTACTTGGATACCAACGCACTTTTTTTAACTATATTTTTTTTTATCACTTTGATAAATTTGTTTTATGACCCACAAATTTGATCCCTCTAAAACTATAATAATATTAAACATGTCCTTTGTTACTGAATATTAGTATCAAAATAATTCTTCTCTAATCATTTGACATTCTCTCAATCTTTAAATTCCCATTGAAAAGATTTATTAACCTAAACAATGCAGTTATGACTTACCTCTCATCAAATCTCAATAAGTATCTTATATATAGACTCGAAATTCTAACTTTATGCGCACTTTGTAAAGCTAACCCATTCACTTTTTGGATCAATATATATTATACCTCAACATTATTTATTATTAAGGCATTTACATACATGCCACCAGATTCCTATGTATTTACATATCTAACACCTAAACTTTGCTTTTTTACATTTATACGACCCATATCTTATATACCATAAAAAAAGACCACTATTAGAACTTTTAAAAAGTGAAACACAAAGTTTCACGCATAAGTAAAGTGTTATATATGTAAAATTGAAGTCCAGGCTTTAGATATATAAACACATAAGAAATAACTGATATATTTGTAAATCTTCCATTATTATTTTAAAATACTTTCTTCCACAAATTCCCCTTTAAATTTTCTCAAAGGTTCACTTCCATCTTTAGCATATATATCTCTAACTAAGACTTTATTATCTTAATTTTGAATACGTCTAATATTGTCATGGTCTTTAGATCTCCTATATTTTCTCATAGCTAAGTAGTAGTTAAGTTGCCTCTAATATAACCGGGAGGCCCAAGTTCCAAGTCACATAACATTTCTACACATATAAGGGGTAAGGTTGTACATCATCATCCCATTTCCAAATTTTTTTATTAAAAGTGCCATGCACTAGATACACTCACTTTTCACTTTTCCCATCTTTAGTACCTGGTCATCAAAAGTTATATTGTGTTTTCCATACTACCTACCCTCTTTATAAAAAGTTAAGCTTTCTTATAATTATTATATGCGTCAATAGTAATTTTTTCAATCTTTTAAAACACATTTCTTTTTCAAACTAATGTTTTATAACTCTTCATTGTACCAACAACTCTCATTATGTATGTACAATCTATTTCAAATCTTCCCCTTTAGCAATTTGTGAACATCAATAACTTCTTATCTTAAAAATCCACCATATTATTTTAAAAGGTTAAAAATGCTATTACAACTACAAAGATCGAGTGAAGAAAACTAAGAGTTAATGTTAGTTTCATGACCAGAGCATAATATTTATGCAAAAATTTATGAAAATGAAGTGCTTCATAAAAGTGAATCCAAATAATAATTTAAGAGAATAGGAAGAAAAAAGGCGACTTACAAGAAGGTCTCCAAAGGAAGTTTTGTGGACATCCACAATAGGCAAATCTTTCAAAGTTTCAGGAAAGGATGGGATTTCTTCGGACACACAATCTACAACTTGAACTAAGGGAAAGTCAAGCTCAATAGAAAAACTTTCTCCATTCCCATTTGGGTAAGGCTCTGCAGAATCCAATTTCCTGAATTCATGCACTTTCTTGGTAGTCAGAATTCCAAATGCAGTATCAAACTCTATTATCTCGCTCTTCACCAAACCAGACGTAAAAAGGAAGTGTGCAGATGCCAACGTTGCATGCCCACAAAGCTTGACCTACAAAGAGTAAATCATACCAATATAGAACAAAGATCCAAAATAGAATAAGTGCAAACGTTGGTTTTCAACGTAATGGCCAGCAACATCTGCTACACAATAATTCCTGACGTAAAAAATAAATAAAAACTAAAAAATTGAATGAAGATAACCTGAGCTAAATTATTCTCAGTATGCAAGACATTTTTTCTTAAACAAGAAAGATATTTTCATCACAATGTAAAATACGTCTTGTTAATTTGCACTAGAAAAATTAAAGCAATTGGACAATTAAATGCAGTTCTTTTCATAAGGCTACAAATATTGCCTCTTACAATTGAAAAAACTGTCTTAAAAGTTTCATAATAATTCCCTTGTAACTTAATTAGTAAATTTAGCCAAGAATATCTGGGAAAAATTCCAATTTTTTGCAATTTTATTAGTCCATGGATAGCATGGCATCATGTTCTGACAAATACAAATTCGTCATATGTAAGTTGTCGGGTAAACACATAATTCTCGCTAGCCCTTGTATTACACTAATACTCTTCTAAGGAAATGGAAGACGTACCTATAATCACAGACTACAACATTTACATGTAACAATTACCGTGCAAATAATGTGATAATGTGGCACATCTAACTGATTCATTCTTGTTTATCACACGCCTACAGCTCCATAAGTCTACAATTTCTTTTCAAGTGTCATGGAAGTGAATTAGCACTAAGAGAAATACATCCCAAATAGGGAGGGTTCCTTTACCAGATCCCAAAATGCCAAATTTCTTAATAAATAATAAATACATATTTATAGTATTTTTATTATAACTACATTATTCTCTAATGTTTGTATTGTAGTAAAACAATCTTAATAAATATCACCTATTTAATGCTGACATTTTAAGTAAAAATTGGAAAAGCACCAAGCATATTTCCAATTTTGTCTTTAAATATCTCTTAGATTTCAACTAACCATGTGTAAACAAAGAATGTTTGCCAAGGATAAAAGTGTAATGCTTTACTTCCCAGAAGATTAACATAAATAAAAATTATCAAGAGATATCAAGCACCCAAAACTGCGAGAAATATTTGCGTACGTTTAACGTACGCAGAGTTGCGTACGTCGGTGGGTTACAGGGAGGGTATTGGAGGGTTATATCTGTGTTATATCCTTTGTATCATCTTTGTAACATACATGTAACTTACAATATATGAAAATAGAAGCGCGTAACTTACTAGTTACGGTAGGTTACAGTGAGGTTACAGGGGGTATAACGCGGACATAACTCCTCAATACTCTCCCTGTAACCTACCGACGTACGCAGCTCTGCATACGTTAGACGTACGCAAATATTTCTCCAAAACTACACCATTTACATACATAACACTTAAACTTCAAACTTTACTCATATAACACTAAAATTTTTTAAATAACAATGGAAATTACACCCTCCTTTGCTTTTTTTAAAATCACATCACCAAGATCTCATTCATACATCACACATTGTTGATCCCCGCATTGCGACTTCACCATCTTGTTCATCATCCACACACTGCAATGTTCCATGTTTCCCTCCCAATAAGAATTTGTCTCAACTTTCTCACCTCTTCACCATCCACAAGCCATCAATCCCTTTGATAACCTTTCCAACGAGATTCCAACATGACTTCTTGTCTCGTTCTTCATTTGCACGACGCCAGCCTGCATTCCCCATGAGATTCCATCGTGACTTCCCTTGTCTCTTTGTCATCTAACGAGGATTCTGTGAAGGTCATTATTTGAAGTTAATGGAGTGTTATGTTAAATAAATAGTGATTTTAGATGTTAAATATATAAATGATGTATTTTAATAGATTCAACTAAATCATTTTGTACCCATTTCTATAGAAATATCAATCAAATGTAAGAGTGTTACCAGCTTTAGGGGGTGTTTGGGACTTTTAATAGGATTTAAAACTGGTCTTCACCTAAATCCAGCCAAAACAAAAACGAAATCCGCGTAGGAGGCATAAATCTTCTGTTGGGTAATGTGGAGACCCGGTCCACCAAATTTAATTAACTTCTTAATTATCCAACATACTGCTCACCTACCACACCCATCTACCCGCTCACCTCCCACATCCCCCCTACCGCTCACCTATCTCCCACCTACCGCTCTCATAGTTTTTATAAATAGTCTCTTTTGGTTTAAATGAAATGCAAGTCAAGCAAGACCAAGCCAAGTATCTTGAGAGGTAAGAGAAAGGAGGAAGAGAGAGAGAGGAATGAAGAGAAGAAAATAGAGATTTTCTTGTAAACGTCGAGGTGCTCGACGGTGTAATTCCTCGAAGAAATAAAATCCTCTGCAGCTCCGTGGACTTAGGCAAATTTGTCGAACCACGTAAATCTGTGTGTCGCTATGGTGTTTTTTCTGCGTACAATTTTTTAATTCCATTTTTCACTTTATTGTCGTCGTTTTTCACAACAACTGGTATCAGAGCATTTGGTTCATATCTAAGGAAGAACGATGGGCAGAGACGAAGTGATGAAATCGGGGATCGAGAAGTTCAATGATACAAATTTTGCTTACTGGAGGATGCAGATAGAGGACTACCTCTATGGGAAGAAACTTCATCTTCTGTTACTGGGAAAACTACCAGAAAAGATGGACGAGGCGGAATGGAATCTGTTGGATCGACAGGTTCCGGGGGTTATACGATTAACAAATTGCCCACAACTTCATCAAGGAGAGGACGACTGCAGATCTCATTATGGCTTTATCAAGTATATATGAAAAGGTATCGGCGAATAACAATGTGCATCTAATGAAAAAGTTATTAAACATGAAGATGACGGAAGGTGTGTTTGTTGCTCAACACCTGAATGATTTCAACACTATCACAAATCAGTTGTCGTCTGTTAAAATTGATTTTAATGATGAAATACGTGCGCTGATATTGTTGGCATCATTATCAAATAGCTAGGAAGTCATGAGGATGACAGTTAGCAGTTCTACAAGTAAATTTAGACTGAAATATGATGATATTCGTGATTTGATTTTGGCTGAGGAAGTGCGCAAGAAAGATTATGGCGAGGCTCGGGGTCTAGTTCGACACTGATTGTTGATTCCAGAGGGACATCACGAGACAAAAACTCAAACCGTGGAAAATCAAAATGAAAGTCTGGTCAGCAGACAATCTGTTGGAATTGTGGCAAGACTGGCCACATAAAAAGGAACTGCAAGAATCCTAAAAAGAAGGAGAATGATGACGCTAATGTTGTAACTGAAGAAATACTGGATGCGCTATTGCTGACAGTTCACAGTTTTGTTGATGACTGGATACTGGATTCAGGGGCTTCCTTCCATACATCTTCCCGTTGGGAGTTAATGTAAAATTATGTTACAGGTAACTTTGGGAAGATATATCTGACTAATGGAAAAGCTCTAGACGTGGTGGGGATGGGAGACATTGATATTGAACTCCCTAACAAGAGCAAATGGACTTTGCAAAAGGTCAGGCTCGTTCTTGAGTTGAAGAAAAACCTCATCTCTGTTGGGCAGCTCAATGAGGGTGGTCATTTGGTAGTAATCTCAGATAGCACCTGGAAGGTTACCAAAGGAGCATTAGTACTGGTTCGGGGTAAGAAAACTGACACACTATATATGACTACAGGTTTACTCAGACGTGGACACATGAGTCAGAGGTGCATTATGAGGAAACAAAAGGTCAATTTCCTGAAAAAGTAGTAGAGCGCCAATGGCAGAAAAACCAGACGTTGTACAAACAAATGGTGGAGAACTACAGAGTTATGAAGAAATCTTGCAAGATGAGAATTTGAGCAAGTGGGAGCTAACCAAGAAAGAGAAGACGGATTCCCTGCTAGAGAATCAGACTTGAGAGCTGGCAGAACTTCCAGCAAGGAAGAAGTCATTGCATAACAAATGGGTGTACCGGGTGAAGACTGTGTTTGATGGCAGTAAGAGGTACAAGGCTGGATTTGTTGAAAATGGCTTTCAGCAGGGGCATGATATTGCTCATGCAGTGGGAGTTGTAAGCAGATATAAGAGTAACCCAAGAAAGAACTTGGTGGTACAAAACTACGTTGATGGTGATATGTCAATTGAGGGTATTACTCGTGAGAAGCTGAAGTTGTGTTCAACTTCAGCTGATCTTCTGACATGAAGACAAGGATTTGAGTTACAGAGGTGGAGGATATCATGTTTGAGGAAAATTTCGGTACAACTAGTAGATGGTGCAGTTAGTAGGTGATGCATTCAGTGTCCCAATCTCCAAGTGAGAGAATTGTTGGGTAATGTGGAGACCCAGTCCACCGAATTTAATTAGCTTCTTAATTAAATATTTCACCTACCGCTCACCTACCACACCCACCTACCGCTCACCTACCTCATCCCACCTACCTCTCACCTACCGCTTTCATGGTTTCTATAAATAGTTTCCTTTGATTTAAAGTAAATGTAAGTCAAGCAAAACCAAACCAAGTCATCTTGAAAGCTAAGAGAAAGAGAGGAAGAGAGAGAGAGAGGGAGGGAAAAAAATAGATATTTTCTTGTAAACGTCGATGCGCTCGACGGTGTAATTCCTCGAAGAAATAAAATCCTTTGCAGCTCCGTGGACGTAGGCAAATTTGCCGAACCTCGTAAATCTGTGTGTCGCTCTGGTATTTTTTCTGCATGTAATTTTTCTCATTTCATTTTTGGTTTTATTGTCGTCATTCTTCACAACATATTCTGTCTCTTTTCCCCCCTTAAATCCAAATCTATCATGTTCTGTCTCTTTTTCCCCATTCCGTCTCTTCTCCAGCGTAAATCCGGATTTATCGAATCTTCGTAGGAGGCGGATTAAGGGGATTTACGTCGCAGTTCTCGCCTGCCATCGCGAACTGACCGAAATTCGCTGATTTGATGAATCCTATTAACGTAAACGTAAATCTTCTGTTGCAGCCAAACACCACGTTATTTGCAAATAATTTTTATTGACCAACTCAATCAAATAATTATATAGCATGAATTCTGTACATAGATTTTTTTTTTTTTTTTGAAGAATATAATTTCTTGGAGTAAAATATGCAAATCAATTCCGCACTCCCATAATGTCCAAGCTAAACTCCCTCTTTTCTTCCCTAAACTCCCAACCACGTACAAAAATGTTGATGATACGTGAAGCGTCTCTAAAACAAAAAACCAATCATAATATCGCTCATTTGAAAGAAATCACTACAAGAAGCTTCCAAAACAGCTAAAACCTAGTGATTTACGACCTCAAATTCAAACTTCAAATATACCAATTTTCTGCCTAAATCCTGACCTCTTCCACGGGGGTGAACCACCGGAGACGAAAACGGGGATAAGAGAACGCCGAGACTTCGCTGACGGCGACGGAGGCGGCGGAAGGGACCAAGAAAGCGGTCTGAGATAAGTTGAACTCCTTGGCAACATTCTGCATCCAGTTGTCATCCACTCCGGCTTCTTCTTCCAATAGGCAGACGGCAGCGGGATTCCCCTTGAAAGGAGTGTCAGTGAAAGCATCAACCTGGATGGAAATGAGATTGAAGAAATTATGCAAAGAAAGGGGAAGGTGCGTGAAGAAAGAAGGATATAGAAGAGTCGAGGAGAAGAGGGATAAGGATACTCACCACGGCGTATCTCACCGATCTTCTGGCCATTAGAGAGAGAACAGCGGCGAGAGAGGAAGAAGCGAAGAGGATAGGCTAGTGGAGCTTCGAGCTCCTGCTCAGAAAGACGGTCGGTTAAGATGAAAGGAAATTGAGCGGGAGAGCCGAATGAAATTGCCGAACTCAATGGCATGCTCCGGTCGTACCAGTCAAAGAGAGACGGCGGAAATTATTTTCAAAATAATTAATTAATCTTTATTTATTATTTTGACTCAAGAATAATATAATATAAATTTACATTTTGTTATTCTTAAATATTATTATTTTTTCATATTTAAAATGTTTAAGTCTTTTTAGTTTAATTTATGTGATATAAAGATACAATTAGGGGTGTAAATGAGCGGCTCGTTTTTATATCGGGGCCCA